TTTTCAGATAGCTAGGAAATTATTATTATCATCTAGTAAATTGATTGATTGTGTGTGTGTTTGTGTGTGTGTGTGTGTTTAAGGCAGGGTTTCTCTGTATAACATACGTGGTTGTCCTGGAACTCTGAGATCGCTCTCTGCCTCTGCCTGGGAGTGCTGAGATTAAAGGCCTGCACCACCACAGCCCAGCCAAAATAGTATTTTTAAGATAAAAAGTAAGCCAGGTGTGTTGATACACACACACCTTCAATCCTACCACTTGGGAGGCAGAGGCAGGAGGATCTCTGTAAGTCTGAGGCCAGCCTTGTCTACATAGCAACCTCCTGGACAGACAGGGCTACATAAAGAAACCTGGTGTCAACTAAATAACCAAGTAAATAAAAATGAGAAACAAGTCTAGCCATGTGAAGTGGAAGTTTCTAGATATGTCATGTGAAACTGACTCCCATGTTTTGCTGAGGAAAGACCTGTGGGAGGACACATGGTGTGTGGAGAGAGTATAAATAGAACTCAACAGGCAGTGATGGCGGTGCTTGCATAGCTAGCCTTGCAGTGCTTCCTTGGTCTCGAGACTTTGTTTTCACTGATCTTCGCTTCCTTGAGAGAATTTCTGGCATCCTGGCTGGTTCTGGTCGTTCCTGCTGACTTGTGCCAATTTGGCAGAGGCCTGGCGGGTTCCTGCTAGATCGTCCCACTGCTGCTTATTTGTGTTTGCTATCCTGACACTGCTGAACTGAACTGCTAGTATCCTGACCAACAGAAATTGGAGTTGCCCCAAGGAACTACCTCTAAACAGGCCCACATCCCGTTGCCTATTTACCGTCTTTCCTCTGCTACCTTTGGATGTGGGCTGGAAGCAGGGGGTGGGGGATGGGGTCCAAAGCGTTTGTGAACCCTTAATAAATGTAGATTTTAAGGAATGGAGATGGCTCAGCTCTTTACTGCTTTTCCAGAGGTCCTGAGTCCAATTCCCAGCAAGCACATGGTGGCTCCCAAGCATCTGTAATCGGAACTGGTGCCCTCTTCTGGGGTGTCTGAAGACAATGTACTCATATATAAAATAAATAAATCTTTAAAAAAGTAAGTTTTTAAAAAAAAAAAAGATCTAAGCCTACAGCCATGATAGTATGTGCCTGTCTGTAGTCCTAACACTCAGGAGGTAGAGGTAGGAGGCTTTCCAGTTTTAGGTCAGCAGGGATCACACATCATGACATCCTGCTAGGGGGTTGGGGGTGGGGCAGTAGAGGCCAGGGACATAGCATGGTGACAAAACACTTGCTTATTAGGTTCAAAGGTTCAATTCCTAACCCTTACCCCCAGTTCTTGGCTAATTTAAAAAGATTATTATGTGGCTAGAGATGGCTCAGCAATTAAGAGCAACTGCCACTCTTCTAGAGTACCTGAGTTTTCACTCCCAGTCGCCACATGGCAGCTCATAACTGTTGGTAACTCCAGTCCCAGGGAATCCAATGCCCTCTTCTGGCTTCCCTGGAAACCAGGCACTCATGTGACAGGGACACACATGCTAGCAAAATACCCATTACAGATAAAATAATAAAAATGTAAATACAAGAGTGAGTATCTGAAGTTTCCTTTTTTTTTTTTAACAAGCATTCCCAACCTAAAGTATATCCATAGAAATTTCTATTCAAGGAGCTGAAGACATGACTCGCTCAGCAGTTAAGAGCACCAACTGCTCTCCCAGAGGACTAGGGGCTGCTTCTCAGCATCCATACAGCAGGTAATAACTGTCTATGACTACAGTTCTGGGGATCCAATGCCCTCTTCTGGCTTCTGTGGGCACTGCATGCATGTGGTGCATAGACATATATATAGGAAAAACGCCTATACATATATATCTTAAAAAATAATCCTTATCCAAAGGTTCTGTGACTAGCTTGGCAGTCAGGAACTGTTGTTGAACACACATTCTTTTTCTCTTGATAAGACTGCCAAATGGGTTTGGTTTTGAAATTTTTTGAAAAAGGGCATAATTATTTACCCAGGAGTGACGTTGTAACTCCATGTAAATCAGGATAACCTTGAACTTAGCGTTATCCAACTGACTCTGCTTGAGAATTCAGGGGTTATAGACATGTACTACCATAGGTCAAATGTGGGTGTTTTTAAATCTGAGATGCTGAGGGTATTCTTTGGGCAGAAAGATTTATGACCAAATGTTATCAGTTGGAGCTAGAGATGGCTCAGGAGTTAAGGACATTTGCTAGTCTCACAGAGGTCCCAGGTTCAGTTCCTAGCACCAACAAGGGCCTACAACTATCCCTAACTCCAGTTCCAAGGGATGTGGCACCCTCCACTGGCCTCTGCAAGCATCAGGTAGCAAGTAGTATGTTTACATACATTCAAGCAAAATATTCGTACACATGAAGTGAAAACATTTTAAAGAGTAAACTATATTAGCATTTAATGTAGGTCTAGAGTTCCAGGACATGTGAGGCTCCCCAGGAAAACCCTGTTTCAATCGCCCCTCCCCAAAACAAGAATGTTAGGATCTAGAAACTTAGGTTTTGAAATGGGAAAGATGTCGGTGTGTGACTCTTTGTCTACAAACCTAGGGACTCAAAACCTAGAGGCTAAATAGAAACACACTACTAATTCTGATCATGTTTTTTTTTGTTTTTGTTTTTTTAAAAGAGGGTTCTTGAGCCTGCTCGGTGGGTTTCAAGCCTGATAACCTTGTTCCCAGGACATGCATAGTAGAGGAACTGATTTCCACAAATTGTCCTCTGACCTCCGTGCTCATGCCTGCTGTCTCCTTTCCTCCCTGTCTCTCCCTCCCCCTTCCTTCCAAACTATAATGAAAAACAATTTTTAGGAGGCTGGAAAAATGGCCTAGTACATAAGAGTGCTTTGTTGTTCTTGTAGGACCTGAGTTTTGTTCAGTTTGCAGCCTGTCAGCTTAGCTCCAGGGGTTCTAGCCCTCCTCTTGTTTCTGTGGGCACCACCAACATAGATGTAAAAATAACTCTTTAAAAATGAAAAGTAAGATTAAAGGACAATAGAGTCAGTATAAGCTAGTAACAAGTTGATTTTCTTATGTGTAGATTTTTTACAAATTGGCAGGAAAAATACAAAAGTGAAGCCGGAAGACAGTTTCCGCGCGTCAGTTGGCATGACTGCAGCCTTCTCATTAGTTGTTCTGCACCATCTTTAACCCAGCACTCAGGAGACAGACACAGGCACCCTGTGAGTTCAAAGCTAGTGTAGTCTATACAATGAGTCTATGGGGAGACTCTGTCTCAATAAAACAAAACAACAAAAAAACCAAACCAAACCAAACCAACCCAAAAATCAAAACCAAACCAAACCAATCCAAAGCTCATTCAAGATGAACAGTGCATATACAGTACACACAACCTTTACCTACAAGGACAGAGATGAAGGCACAGACAGCAGAGTGGTGGGGTCCAATCTTACACCCTGATGGAGGAGTGTGTCAATCCATACAACTTTTATAAGAGCTAATCTGGTATCTTTCATAATCCAAACCTCAAATATTCTTTAAGGTAACTAACCATGTCACATGGGTCTACTTTCAGTCAGAATACATCTCCACTCTAGGATGCTCATGTCTGTAACAGAAAAACCATGCTATTTTGTTTTGTTTTTGAGGTAAGGTCTCACTGTGTAGTGTGAATCAGCCTGGAACTATGTAGACCAGGCTGGCCTCAAACAGAGATCCTACTGCCTCTGCCTCCAGAATGCTGGGATCAAAAGCTTGTGCCACCACACCTGGGGTAACCAAGTAATTTTGAATTACCACAGAATACAACTAATAGTTGGGTCCTTATGTCCAGTGAGCTGGTATCAGTAAGAATGGCACAGCCAGCCGTGTGCGGGCAGGTCAAGATCTTTGAGACTGTAAGGAAAGAACAAAATGCAGGGTGGTACATACAATATGATCCCATTTATTTAAAAATAAAGATTACATATTTGCTTATATGCATAAAATTTTCCTGAAAATTACATTAGAAATTATTAGAGGTTACCTCTGGGTAATGGTAGTGGGGTAAGATGCAAGGACAGAGACACCATTTTCTTATATTTTGGAGCTTTTTCAACCAGGTGTACTTTTTAAAAGAAATATTGAAGAGGAATCCTCTTATTCACACATGAATTATGGACATTTTAAGAGTTGTATTTGATTTTCTTCAAGACAAGTTGACTTGAGGTACTTAACATTTTTCCAGGATTCATACCCACTTGACAAGTATTTTTTAAAAATCATGTATTGCCTTGTTATTGTAGAGACAGATCTCATTCAGCCGAGGCTGGGCTTGAACGTGTACCTGAGGATAATCTTGACCTTTTGATCCTCCTGCCTCCACCTCCCAAGTACTTGGATATAGGAATGAGATGCCAACCCCAGCTTGTTTTTAGAAGATGACTGGATCTTAAATGAGATGTTACTAGAAAGTTCTTAAAAACTCACATTTGATGTTGTTTTTTACCTTGTAGCTAGCCCTGGCTCGCCTGAACTTGCTATGTAGACCAGGCTGGCCCTTAAACTCACAGATCCACCTGCATCTGATTCCCAAGTGCTGTGATTTTAAGTGTGAGCCACCATGCCTGACAAAAACTTCTCTTTAAAGTATAACTAATGTGATCAATGCAGAAGACTGCAAGAATTTAAGACTGTAAGAGAACTCCAAGGACACACAATCATTAATGTGTTCTTCCCTTTACATACACATTAACACACTGTCCTCTACTCACACTATTTATTTACAAAGCTGAATTCATCCTGTGCCTACAACTATGCGTCCTGCCTTCTTTCCACCAACATAGCAGGCATTCAGTAAACATGCAAGTGCTGGATTAGTATGTACCATTTCTCAACAGAAACCATGTCCACAGAAGGCATTTAGTTGTTTCCAGTTAGTTAACTAATATTAGGTCTATTCATAGCTAAATTTCTGCAGTGAGGATCACTACTTAGAAAAAGCTATTGTGTCAAAATATGAAACACTTAAAGTTCCTGGGCACGGTTTCAGAAAGGTTCTGCTGGCCCAGCTCGAGCTGCCACACTGCTCCCAGCCAGCACTACCAGCTGTATCTATGTGTATCACACAGTCGGGACGACTCTCCATTCTAATAACAGCAAGACATACCCCATGTTTCAAACAGTAAGTCTGAGACTGTCTTCCAAACTTCGGAATAACAGGAGTGTCTTTGCTCTCTACCCTAGCCCTACACCACTGGACTTTGGTCCGGCAAGTGCAACTGCTGAATGTGAAACTTCAGTACAAGTATGAGTGAGCCATCTACGCTGCAGACTGGCCATTCTCATCTGTCTGGCATCGATGAGAACAGATTATAAAACATACGCATCAGTAACCTAGGACAAAGAATCTCTACATTTTACTTTTCAAAAGAAAGGTAGCCAGTTATTTTACTGACATCTTCAGGGCAGCACTGGAAGGAAAAAGTCAGACAAAAGTGGCCTCCATACAGCCCTGTACAACAAAAAGATGCTTACAGCAAAAATAAGATCATTCTGGTTTTTTGAAAACTTTTTTTATTTGATATTTAAGTAAGATCAAAAACTACAAGATTTGTTTTTGAGGCTGATGAGTGCAAAGAGAAACGCTAAACATCAGTTATCACCTGATTAGCTCGCTGAAGTGCTCGGGGCTCAGACTACTTAGTGACATACCAATTATTGTGTGTGACTTGAGAATCTTGCAGCAAAAAGTATCCTAAATGAAACACTGGGCTAGAGGGCTGTGAAGTCTGAACAGGAACTGGTGGTGGCAGGCAGCCGTGGGATTTTTTTAGGCTGAGCAGCTGGTTACCCTACACAAGGGCCTAGCATCCAGCTATTTCATGTTTTGACTTTTTCAGGTTAAACAACTTAACTGAAAAACTCTTAGCAGAAATAAAGACTATACACGGTTTGAAAACATAAAGCAGACCCACTTCTCCAGCAGCAGCAGCAGCAGCAGGCTAGCTGAGTGGGATCCTAAGGAAACGGTGGTGACTGTGCACTGCTGGCTGCACTACATCTGCTGCGTGGAGTTCCCATTCCAGGTGTTGTTCTCGTCTTCGCCGCCGTCATCCTGAGTCCTCAGTCTGTATACCTTCCCTTCCTTTTTAAAGTCTTCCCCTCGCTTTTCCAGCACTCTTTTTCGGACTGGCTCCCTGAAATGAAAAAGAGAAGAAAGATGACATAGGATACAAACCATACAAAGCTGTTTCCTCACATTTGCTCTGATATAGGATAGGCAACTACATTTTATTTTTAGCTCAACAACAAAGTCTACAGGAGGTATCTGTACCTCTGCTGCAATAATCAATTTTATTTGTCTTTAATAATTTAATCTCCTCAGTTACGTAAGTCAAACTGGTCAAATCATATTGTCCATTTTCTAGATGACTTATTAAACCCTAGAACATGATCATTTGCTAATTGTTCCTTAAAAAAACAAAAACAAAAAACAAACTCATACAAGCTGACACACATACTAGGTATAATTTACAGAGCATCCTAGGAGCTAAACAAAGCTCCAGTTGTACCTTAACTGATAGAAATGACCAGTCATTTGCAATCCTTTCAAAACCTTTATCAGTGACTTATAACCAAGAATGAATAGGACTTCCTTATTTGAAAGCAGGAAGGAAAGAGTCTAAGTTTGGAGAATCTTTTATGAACAACAGAAAATGGAAAAACAGTGGCACATAAAACCTACCCTCTCCCATGCGCATTCACTATTCCCTCTGCCACAAATTCAAGCCCTTTCTCTCTTTTGAGAAAGGTTTTAATGATTCGCATGGCATCCTATTCCACACTCTAGCAATTACAGAATTAAATATTTCTAACTAGTCTTTAGCAAGACTAAGGTATTGATCTTGGTACCTAACAGTCAAGATAGAGACCATATCAGCCAATCACAGTACTCATATATATCACTGTATTTTATTTTTAGCTCAACAATGAAATCTACAGGAGATATCTGTATTTCTGCTGTAATAATTCAAATCAATCAATATGAATACCCTAGCTCATGGGAAGTGGTACTATTTGGAGCTGTGGCCTTGTTGAAGGAAATTCATCACCTTGGGTGTGGGCTCTGAGATCCTATGCTCAAGCTCCTCCTAGTATGAAAGAAAGCCTCCTCCTAGCTGCCTGAGGAAGTCTGAGTCATCTCCTGGCTGCCTTCTGATCAAGGTGCAGTTTGGCTTTTTCAGCACTATGTCTGTTTGGAAGCTGCCATGTTTCCTGCCATGATGATAATGGACTGAACCTCTGAACCTGTAAGCCAGCCCCAATTAAAGGCTGTCCCTTATAAGAGTTGCCTTGATCATGGTGTCTCTTCACAGTAAAGAAATCTTAACTGAAACGACAACAGCTAACAGAGTCTATGTAACAAGAATAAACATTATCTGTTAGATGGTGGGATAGCCTCCTTCTGGATAATACTTCTGTTAACCTGTTTTGAATATGCCATCAGAGTATGGGCTAAAGCTATCAGTGCCTCCCATACAACCAAATCTTTGATCTGTAATGAAAGTAAGGTCTTTGGTCAAAGAATTAAAAGTTAAGTCTGAAGACATTCGTTTTCTTTTGGTGTTTTGCATTTTCCTTCTGACTTAGGGTTTCACTATATATATAGCCTAGATAGGACTCAAACTCACGCTCTTCCTTATCCCCAACTGGGCTAAACTCATGATGATATCATATCCACCTCACACCATCCCCACCCCCCTACTCCCAGTGTGGTGGCACAAATCTTTAATCCAGCACTTGAGAAGCAAAGTCAGAAGGGTCTCTGACCAGCCAGGGTCACATTGGGACCCCATATCAAAAACAACAAAAATCATGGCTAGAAAGAAAGATCTGATGTATCTCGGGGGCAGGGGAAGTCTGAATTGGTAATTATGGAATAAAGTATTCAGTGAACCGGGAAAAAGAGGCAAAGTTGCTTTCCTAGCACCAAGGATTAAGGGATTCCATGACCCGTGTATTGTACAAACAGAAGATAAGAACATAAACCTTTTCTCTGACTTGCTGGATGATGCAGAGTTTGAAGGCTCTGTGGATGCGGCTCTTGCTGAAGTCTGTGCAGGAGGGGGACTACTAAATAAAAAATTGCTTATTAGTCTCCATATGGCCAAGAATGGATAAAGCACCGTCCCCAGTAATGTCCAAATGTCTCCACTAGAAGGGTGGACAATGGATGTGGCTGGCCGTCCTGCCTAGAAATTAAAAAAAAAAAAAAAAAAGATGAAAAATTAACAAAGAAGTAAAGATTATATCAGTACAAATCAAATCAAAAGGAGTCTTAGATGCTCCTTTTATCTGGAAATGAGACCCTTTGTCTCAATCCCAGGAACTAAAAATGATCATCATTTACTTCTTTCCAAGTGCCCATGAACTTATGGGGACTCCTAGAGCTGTTTGTTTATTTATCTATTTATTTATTTATTTTTGAGACAGGGTCCTACTATGTAGCTCTGGCTATCCTAGAACTCACTCTGTAGACCAGACTGCCTTGGAACTCACAAATATCTACATGTCTGCCTACCCTGGCCTCCCAAGCATTGGGAGTAAAGGCATGCACCATCATGTTCAGCTGTTTTACTTTTAAACAAATAATTTTATGCATATGATGTACATCGCTTGTTATCACCTGGAACTGGAGTTATAGGCAGCTGTGAGCCACCCTGTTGGAACTAGAAACTAAAGCTGGGTCCTCTGCAAAAGCAGCAAGTGCTCTTAACTGATGAGCCATCTATCCAGTACCTCACTGCACCTGGCTCAATCAACTTTAATAAAAATTGAGTTTTCTTTTATGTGTATTAATGTTTTTGCCTGGATGTTCTGTATGTGTACTAAGTATGTGCTTGGTACCAAGTCAGATCAGAAGAGGACATCAAATCCCCTGGGACTGGACAGTTGTGAGTTGCTACATGTGTGCTGGGAACTGAACCTGTGCCCTCTAAGAGAGCAGCACACTAATTGTCAAGCCGTTTCTGTAGCTATGGACCAGCTCATTTTAAGAAATGGTAAACTCTGGTAATAAAATTAACAACTTTGATAATAAAAGCCTCACTAAAAGAGAAAGGAAAAAAAAAAAACAAAGAAAAAGAAGTAAGTAATAATATTTAGTGAACACCATGAAATCCTGATTGCTGGGCTGTTTCCAATGTGATGGCAGCTCGAGGTTAGGTCAGGGAAAAATAATAGTGACCAGGACATGAAGACCCAGCTGATCCTTCAGGTAGACCTTGGCAATATCTTAGCTTTCTGAGTCTCTTTTCTTCGGAGGAGATGAAAGTGCTATACTTACTGGGTGTGGCTGCATGCATGCCTTTAGTCCCAGCACTTGGGAGGTAGAGGCAGGTGGATTTCTGTAAGTTCAAGGCCAGTCTAGTCTACTAGAACAGCTCTTGGACACCATATATAAGACCTCGTCTCAAAAAAAAGCAAGCTATACTTGAAGAATTAGATGTTATAATTATGTTATATATATTTCCAATGTGGTGGACAGTACAGTCATAGGCTAAGAGTTTACAGATGAAACAACTCAGTATTTGTTTTCTTCTGTTAATTTTCTTTTTTTTTGCATACAAAACAGCTGAAATTTCAAAGCCTGACAAAACATTTACACTACAAATTTATAAAGCACAGAATAAACAAAGGTACTATAAATTGATCTAATTTTGGCTACTTTGTTATTTTAATTATACATAGCCTTTTTTCTTCTTCAAATTCTAAGAAATGACCAAGAATAGAACAGATAGAAAACCCACAGAGCAGAACCCAGAACTGTATGCATACTGGCAGCAGCACCACAGAGGCACTGGGGGCGAGCTCCAGATCCAGCAGCTTCCTCTTGTAGTCTTCTCTGGTGAACTCTCTTCTGGGGAACATGGTTGCTAGTGAAAAATTACCATAGGTGTTGCCAACAGTCTGAAACAGAGCAGGAAATTGTAAACCTTACAAAGTTGCCTTAAAGAAATAAGGCACTACCAAGATGCATTGTTTTAGACTCTAAAATGATTGTTATAACTAAAATTATCTTAATTTACAAAATTCAATTAGACATAAATTTAAAGTCACTTAGAAAAACCATGTTTCAAAAAGTAGTTGAGAAATACCAAATCCAGCCAGGCAGTGGTGGCGCACGCCTTTAATCCCAGCACTTGGGAGGCAGAGGCAGGCGGATTTCTGAGTTCGAGAGTTCGAGGCTAGCCTGGTCTACATAGTGAGTTCCAGGACAGCCAGGGCTACACAGAGAAACCCTGTCTCAAAAACCCAAAAAAAAAAAAAAAATTGTTTCAGAACAACAACAACACCCCAAATGTGATAGAGACATAAGCACCTAAAAGTAGTAGATGATCCCGTTCTATTCTGTGGTTAGAACACAACATCAGCTGAGCTGTTCATCAGAAAAATGTGGTATATATACTAATAAAGTTTTATTCAACAGAATAAAAAAAAGAAATTATGTCATTTATAGGAAAAGTAGATGGAACTGGAGAGCATACAGAGCAAAGCAATTCAGACAACTACAGCCTGTGTACCCTGGATTTTGATATACATGTGAGTGCATACATTGATGTATACACACAAACCATCTATGACAAGAAAGTAGAAGAGGTACCACTGAGGGAAAGGAAGACTAGTAGGATTCAGAGGAGAGGAAGGGTAAGAGAGGAAAGGGTTAGTGGATGTGAACATGAAAATATTCTGTAAGATACTGTGTCATAATTAAAACTCATTATTTTGTACACTATTCTAAAAACAAAAGAACATGTAGCATTTGATCTAAAAAGCAAAATGACAAAAACTACCAAACAATGGACCAGTAAGATGACTCAGAGACTGAAGCCATTTGTCACGTAAGCCTGATGACTTGAGTTTAATTCTGGAACCCACTGTGAAAGGACAGACCCAACCCTTGAAATCTGTTCTCAACACATGTGCACATATTCCACACACACCCATACTCAAACATCAGCCATAAATAAAATAAAGTCATAAATAAAAATAAAATAGGAAAAATGTTATCCACAGAGTATGCTGAAATGCGTATGTATTAAGGGAATTCATGGTCATTATCATTTTTTTAAAGGAATTTGAAGACATGATCTCAATGTGTAGGATGAGCCATTCCAAATTCTTAATAAGAAATACTGGTAACAATCCAAGTATGTGTTGGTGAGTCACTAGCCTAAGTTTTCCAAATGCTAGCAAAGACCCCAGCTGACTTAAAGATGCAGCTGCCACTTTGTTGCTTGTTTTACAGTGAGCGTGGGAGGCATGGGGGGTGCACACTGTGGCACATATGTGGGGGTCAGAGGGCCCTGGGGACCTAACTTCGGTTGTTAGGCTTGGCCGCAGCACTTTTAACCACTGTGCCATTTAGCTGGCCCGTGGTGGCTCTCTTCTTCCACAGCCCCCCATTTACTTGCAGCAGCTGGAATAAAGCAAATCTTGTGGGGTCCTCGAGACAACAGAGCAATGAAGCAACCATCTGAGGCGAGTTCTGCAACTCCTGAGACATGTTCCCTTGTGACTCAACATGATGGAAAGACTATTTTGAGGAGGAGTTTGGTGAAAAAGTCTAAACTCATTATCTCAACTTTCTAATTTTAACCTTGAAATTATGGAAAAAAATTCTGGTACATACAAAGAGCTTAGATCTTAAAGGAGGATTTCCACCCAGAATCCATTTTGAGCCAGGACTAAAATAAAAAAAAAAAGTACTGGAAACTACTTCTCTCATACTTCCTATGTTATCAAATTTCATGACATTTACATTTTGAGTAAGCCCACACTTTTGAATTAAATTCCTGATCTTTTGCCTTGACCAATAGAAAAATAATTAATTTTCAGAAAACAAAGAGAAACTTTTCCAGGATAGACAAATTATCATCTAACATCTAGGAGTCCACGAGTCCACGTGCTTTTCACTCCTCTTGCTAAGCATTATAGAAGAGCTTCTCTGAGCCTGCTGTATACTGAGGTCATGTATGATACAAGCCAGATATCCCTCCATCTCAGGCCTGTCTCTTATTATTCTTCTGGAGCTAAGTCGAAATTTATCTACAGTCTTTAAGTTCTGCTTTGAAACTTCTCCTGCAAGGTTTTACTAGCCCATGCAACTATCTTTACAAACTTACCTGTGCAGCAAACTGCCTTGCTTCTTCTAAAGGAGCATCAGAAGGAAACTGGTTTGTAAACGAAGAACCATCAGGCAGCCGGAACTGAATTCTTGCAATGGTGCTATGAAAAAAGAGTCAAGCTAAAGTCAGTTTCTTCACCTACAGAGTCATCAACATCTCAAACAGTGTCATCAACTATCTGACACAGGGCTGGTGAGATACCTCTGTGGGACAGGATTTGTTCCCAAGCTTGATCATAAGTCTGATCCCCATGATGAAGAAAGAAAACCGATTCGCCCAAGCTTGGCACCTGACCTCCACACATGCACCATGGCATGCTTTGCCACCCTCTTAAGTGGTTTTCTTCCTTCCTTCCCTTCTAAAGCTCAGTTGTGAGTAAAAATGCGCTTTTTTAGGCAGGAAAGAGGGCTCAACATGCAAGCCCATTAACCTGTAATTGTATCACTTGAGAGGCTAAAACAAGAAGATCAAAAGTTAAGAGGCAAGCCTGGGCTACATATCCAATGAAACCATGTCTCAAAACAAAACAAGGACCTAGTGAGATGACCTAAGTTAAGTTCAGTCAAGAGCTGATCTCCATGGAGGAAGAAGAAACTAATTCCTGAAAGCTGTTGTTTTCAGGAATTATCAGACTCCATGATACACACACAACCTCCATCTCAGGCCCAAAATGAATGTTAAAAAAGTTGCATTTAAAAAACAACAACAACAAAAAACTCCATAAAAACAAAATAATAAACAGAACCATGTAGCTATCACACTAATAGAATATTTCATCACTTCACCAAATCACCCTGAGTCTATTAGTAACCCTCCCCATTTCTCTCTCAGGCCCTACTAACTATGAACTGATTTGCCTAGTTGGGACCTTTCATCTAAAACAATCATACCACATGTGATCTTCCATACAGCATTATGCTTTCAAAATTCATCCAAAATCAAGAATCAAAGTTCTTGTTTCTTTTATTGTTGAATTCACTCTTATTTATTTATTTATTTATTTATTTATTTATTTATTTATTTATTTA